TACTGTTGTCTTAATATTGTTGTATGATCACATTGATGATAAGGAAAGATACCACTGATAATATTGGTAATCCTATATTTCATGGCTTCATGCATTATACATAATTGTACATAATATTCAAAATACAATATTGTCATACATTATATATATATGTATATATATTTTTAATACTGTACTTGATTTGCTACATTGTCACTACAGACACTACAGTATGTTCAAAACAACCAAATTATGTATCCTGCAGATAAGCTCATTATAGCGTGCGTAGACGTTTTAGCTTGTAACAAGACCTATTTTGTACCATTACTGTGAGTGTATCTATATTAGTGATTAAGTCCGATCAAGGCATACAAGTTTACAGAATCAGTTTTCCTTTGACCTAGTTATTTTATTATTTGCATGTTCCAATCTGACAATATAATGSACTACTATACTATACTATAGGTACTATACTCTTACGAATGTTACATTCAAATGAACACCGAACGTCGGAAAACGTATTTCAGATGAACGTCAGCGTTCCACTTCCTTATACATATTTATCTATTCAAATAGTGACGTTGATACGTCAACATGTTCTTTTAATTGATTATTTATCTGCGGGGTGTGGAAAMCCCGAACTGTTTATTCATATTATTTAATATTTATAGTGGTATATGTATGTGGAGATTTTTAACTTTTATTTTAAATTTGTTATTTGAACACTGTACTTARCTGAATATTATGTAAAAAAGAATTAGGCTAATAAAAGGTGTCTGATTTTAATCGAATTGACGCCTTCTAAACTTATGCTTTATTCGGGCTTATATGTCACTAACACTGCACATGAAATATCTTTAAGGTGTAGGTATACTATTATGTGAGTGTGTAGATGTTTGTGAAGGCTGCACCGTACAGTTTTTGGAGAACGAGTGGCTACTTATATAAAGAACAGCGCTGCGTCCAATTCGTTTATATTTTCGCGTGCAAAGTTATATATTTTCGAAAGAGAAGAAAAAACTCGTTGTTTTCAATTAATTTAAAGTTTTTTGATATCATCGCGAGTATTGCTTTTAATATAAAACATCGACACTACAGGCGCCGCTGCAGACGGTCCCTACGAAACGCGCGTTTGTAATATAATAATATAATATTTTATTTTATATAAATATACGCGGACAACGGTTTACGGGGTGCATTCAACTTGGTATCATCCGCCCCTTTTCGGGTGGGAGCAATGACGTCACGGATTTGCGGGACATGACGTATGTTATATTGATCGCAGCACTGGCGGCGTAGTTTAATATATAATGTGTGTGTGTGTGTGAGTAGGTATATTCGCTGAGTGAGGTCTGCTGCTGCCGCTGTAGTTTACTAACTTTGCACAGATATTTGTGTTTCAATTTTCCAGACATAGGTATTATTTTAACGGTTCACAAATTCACTCGACAGTGGATAATGCGATTCCATCGCCGGAATGAAACCAAAAAAAATAAAAATAAAAACCATTTCTCTACGCAAAAACATTTCAGCCCATAACACTACGCAGCACTGAGAAGCACCACCTATATATGGCTATATCCTAACGATTATATTATTATTATTATTATGTACACATCATAACGATATCGCGAGCGCGTGCGTGTGCCACATACTATCGAGGTGGTAAATACAAAAAAAAAAAAAACATATACCTCGCGTCTTGTATAGGTAAATATCGTGTATTATATAAAACTGTATTCTAACGAGCTCGTAAACGCGCGTGTACACATCATAGACACCGAATTTACTCCGTTTAGCAAATCCGGCACCACCCGAATAGCACATACATATGTTTAACTTGTTATATATTTCGTATAGAGTTATTGCGATTTATATTTACTCACATTTTTATACTGTTGTGCATATATATAACACTATTATTATACAGCCATAAAATGCGTAGGTACCTTCATATTATATACATACTGTTCAGATGAGAACAAACGACGTGTTTACTCAACGCCAATATTTTCGGTCGTGTAAAAACCTAGATGTGTGTGTGCTCGCACGATTTCACCGTGTGTGTACGGAAATATTTCATTTCGATCCGAACCACTGACAAGGAAAAATATTTATCCTACTGAACATGAACGGTTCTATACACTGTGCGCGCTATTATATGTCGGTCGTAGTGTGCTCGCTGAGACTATTAGTATCGCATTTATTCGAGTGAAAATGAGGCGCATTTAACGATTAGCACTTAGCGAAACAGAAAAAAAAGGCTCGGTCGTAAAAATTGTTACGACCTAATAACCCCTTTGGTATTATATAAGCTATAAAATAAATATTTCACGTTTTTAATATCACATATTTATATATTATGCATATTATAATAAACTCGCCGTTATTTTTTCTTATGACATCCTAAGTTTCCGGTCCGAATAGAACATTGTGTCATGTGATAACTATTAGCAGATAAACTATTAGTATTTGTATTAATTTATAAACGAGATTGCAGCGATATAATAATTATATTATATTTTAATTATTTTATCTCTATACGCATTGCGCACATCATGTCGTAATTATTGCTGTTTGACGAGTACTATATTATTACATCGACACATCGTATGATGTTYCTTTATRCAACAAAAATAATAATATATTATGCGTACATGCAGTGCACATACGCTTAGTTCGTAAATCGTAAATAATAACGCGATTTAACATATTATCATAATGCGTGTCCATAGTATTTTAACATCGCCACGGCCAACGGGTAATATTGGACTCGTATTATTAATAGGTTCGATTTAAATGTGTTTTAAATGTACCTACATATTATTAGGTASTGGGTAGTAGGTGAGGTGGTAAGCGTTGAAATACGGAGATGTTATATTATAATAGTATGCGCCTTTGGTCTGTTAACAAATTTAATATGTTAAATTATAATATATCAATATGAGACTTTTTCATGCACCAGCCGCCTTTGGGTGGAACTTTGTTTTTTTATTTTTACTTAATATGTGGCCTATCTGGGACAGATGCAGAATATAAATATGGTTATGTGCGGACGGCGGCTAGCGGTAAGGGGTTAACTGCACTGAAGCGCAAAAAGCGGCACATACTGGCGTTTTTATAAATAAAACAATAAACTTAAATATGACTTTATCCGCAGACTATTTCTAATATATTCCAATAACATATAAATATTTTTTATTTATTCTACATAAACATATATAGGTMTTAAAGTTAAATTATTAGAGCTTACACAATTTAAATATTTAATAAATATTTATAACGTGCTGTCGTACCTACTAAATGCATGCACCTTAGTACTTACCTATATAATATGTACAATGCATTTTATCATAAATGAATACGATTTCGAATCTAGTTAAACGATAATGTCTATGGAGATATTGTTATTTTGCATACACTTATACAAACATTATAAGTACAGCCAGTAYAGGGCTGAATGATTTCTTTTTTTTTATTATTAATGGTAAAATATTAATGTAAATGAATTCTGATGATAAAACTATCGTTTTTACTCGTTTCAACGTATGTATATTAGATAAATTATTTATCAATTTATCAATTTATTCATTAATCATTTTTTCGTAGTTTAAATTTCAAATATTAACACGACTTACAACCAGTGTTAGGACTTATCTAGATAATTATTTTATCGTTTATCTTATCTAGATAAATAAATATAAGTTATCTAAKTATTTATTTTAGATAAATATTTGACTTATCTAGATAAATTTAAAAGATAAATTTTTTAGTGAAAATTAGATAGATCTGTACCAAAAATATTATTAACTATGTGAATTTTGTTTTTGGTCCACTCGACAACTTCTTCAGCAGGGTGACTTCCCAAATTTTTATTTATACTTTGTTACTCCCTAGAGTCCCTTAGATATTATTGGTTCCTTATATAATTATATGTGTGGAAGTTAATGTTTGGTGATACACATCATGAACATAAACATAAACATAAACAGTTAATGTTTGGTGATACACATCATGAACAT